GTGGGCTGAGACTTCATTACGAATATTGCTTCCTGCGTTTTGTGTCTTTGGTACGAAGGAACGAAGAACCACGAAGGAAGCCAAAAGAGACTCGGAGGGACGATTAAATCGTCGAAGTGGAGAACTTTGCTCGGCGTGAGTTTTCCCCGCTGGATTTATGTATTGGCGAGCAAACTGAACTAACTAAGTTACGATCGCTGGGAAAATACTTACGAAAATTAAACGTTCGATGAACAATTCCGTTCTTACTTTTACTCTTGGATTACTTTGCTGTTTGAATAATGTACGGGTCGTTAATGGTACAGGTTAAATATTCCCAGGCGCTCACTGTCACGAGGACTGTAGATTTTTAATGCGCTTTTGTATTTTTATACAACTAAGGAAATGAAACCTAAGCAGGAATAAGCATCGTTTTGTCTTAGCGTGAATATTGCAATAAATATTTAAAATACGGGTATTTTATACAGGGTGGGTACTTCGAATTCTTTTGTCTGAAATTATTGGAATCTCATTTATTGTATTATAGTATTAGATTGTAGATTTTCGTGCATTTGCGAAATATCAAAAGCAGTTTACCTGTAAATGTGTAATGTACTATAAAGTGGTTTATAATTGTTATGATATATATAAAATATCAAATAATATATAAAATTTGAAGAGCAGTGTACTTGTTATAATAAAGAGAAACAAATTTTTATGTAAACTCCACTTTTGATAGTTCCAGTATTAAATAGAAAGAGTGTCCTACTTTAACAATATATAAAATGATAGTTCTTCTGTTTCACGCCATAATTAAAATAACACCGTAGTACGAGCTTGGAAAGATATTTGTCAATATATGTAATAAAACTATAAATGAAGAAAAAAAGAATACTTGCAATAATTTATTCGTTTTTATCCTAACAGTATGTATTTGAGCAAACGGAATTAAGTGATCGAATATTTGCAAATGAATAGCAAGATGTAGTATATGTATTATAACTCAGAATTAAATAAATATTAGGGTTGTTGAGTCAAATGAAAAACACATAGAAATGTATTAAAAGCTATTCTTACATTTTTACATTCTTACATTTTACTCGTAAAACCTGCATTGCCCAAAACCTTTGCATTTAATTTTTGATGAATACCAACAACCAACAAAATTTCAATTTACATTTTGCGTAATAATTTGGTAATTACATATTGCTTTTTTCGTCGTTGACCCCCCGAGTTGCCTTTACCTTGTTATTGTATAATGTAATGCGATATGATAATGTAACGTTCGTTGAAGTAATGCAAAAATGTGCATAGCAGGGAAAAAGCACATTTCCTCTTCGCTTATCTGTATATCGTAATAATTCAGGGAGCCATTACTGCCACTTTAAGACCATCGGAATCCGCTCATTGTACTCCGTGGCCGTAAAATCGCAAATTGATTTCTTGCTGCTGCGACCAGAAAGAAAGTCATTAAGCGTTTAAAGGAGGATGCCAGCGGTTTCATGCAAATTTCAGGAAGTAGTTCGCCTTTTCGTTCGCTCCATCAACAACTACAAGCAATAAAGCGCGAGAAATCTTAACGATCGCTGAGAGAATCGTGATTTTATTTTCCGTGATTGGTTCTGTCTAATTTGTTTTTCGATATTATTACAATTGTATTCTAAAATCATAAATGCATCCCCGAGAAGATGATCGCGTTGAATGTATATTTGTAGCAAGTGGATCGGGTGCTTTATCTTAATGTTTTCAAAAATTGGATTTTCGTGCAATACTTTGTAACAAGTTAAGAACAGGGATGTAGCTTTATTGTAAAAGAAAAAAAATGAAGGAAAAATAGTAAATTAAAATAACGTGACTGTTGAAAAACAAATCTACGTTTCTTTCATTGATAAATCAATGGTAAATTAAACAAGTATAATTAATATTTAAATGAGCACTCATTTTCCCTAATTTGCTACTCATGTCAATTGATACAATAATCGTATCAGAAAGCAATGTATTACCTATCGAGGATTTTGAAAGTAAATGTTATTTGCAATTCTGACAACATATTTTGTTATCAAAAATTTTGAAAATATATTGTTATATAATTAATTAATGATGTTAGAAAATATCGAAAATGAGTATATGTTAGAAAAAAATCTGTATAATCTGACCTATATTAATATTGGATATACTTGTATAAGAAAAATGTTTTAAGACAAATTGACACAAGGAACGAGGCTTAATATATATGTATGTATAATCGCATTAACAAACTGAGACGAATCGGTACTGTTATATCATGCTATCTTCCATCTGTATGCGGTATTGCAATACCAACTTCCTATAGTTATGCATTTGAAATCGATAAACGAGATTTATGGTAATTGTTTCACGACACAATTCGGGAGTTCCAATTTATCTTCGCCTACGTGTTAATTGACGTAATCACTGGATATATAATTTATACATTGTTGTACCCTTCTCGTATCTGTGTATCTGTTTTAATCAATATTGAAGATACAATGGAGAAATAACCAAAGATACGAAAAAAACCTTCAGTACCTCTGTAGTCAAATTCGTTTATTTACATAAAGATATTAAAAAATATTATTAAAGATAATATTATTAATATTATTAATATTAATAATATTAAAAGATAATATTATTAATTATTTTTAGTATTATTATATTATAATAGTAATATATTAATAATATTATTAATATTAATAATATTAAAAGATAATGTTATCTTTAATATTAATAATTTAGTTAATAATATTAATTTTATTAATAATTTGTTATATAATTAATTAATGATGTTAGAAAATATCGAAAATGAGTATATGTTAGAAAAATATTAAAGATAATATTATTAATATTATTAAAAATATTAATTAAGTGTAGCTATTTACTCTAATTTAAAGTACGAGAACTAACAATTGCTATAAATAAATCATTTGGTATTTTTTTAATGGTACATTGCTCTCTGTAATCAAAATTTCATTTATTTACTATAAAAATATTTAAAAATATTATTAAAGAATATTAAAAATATTAATTAACTGTAGGTATTTACTCCAATTTATTTCTATAAATAAATCATTTGGTATTTTCGTAATGGTATATTGACGAGATACAATTGTGTATCAAGTATTTGTGCAATAACTTTGTTCGTATTTCATATAATTATCATTTCATATAAAGTTTATTTAGTCAACGTATGCATTATCTTGTTCAATTTATTTGCAAATAAATTTTGACGTTCAGTTCATTAGTTCAAAGCGTTTATTCATTCATAAAGGGAAATCTGATATATTGTACACAATATTTTCACATCTTCTGAAAATATCGTAAGTTCGTATCTCGAAATATGAGCAAACAGATTGTTGCACAAGCTAATGCACAAACTAGAATTGTACATAAGTACCTATATAAAGTAAAATTTTCCTAATGCAGTTATGTAAATCTGTAACTTTTACGTTGCATCGATATTATTGAATTAAATCGTGATCTTGCGCACACTGACATTTTAAATATAATAATAATTAATAATTGAATATAATAATTCAACCTTCTCGAACCTTTATATAATAATTCAACAGCTGAAAGTACAGTTTCGCATTTAATAATGAAGTTTTCAGTTTCAACATAAAAGAAGATAATTTTTAAAGCTCAATCAGGATACTGAAAATTATATTGTTCAACTATGATAAATATATATATTTGATGTCTGTGTAGAATGTAGTCGATGATCATATTATTTACATATTACTCACTGTGAGTATGTTTCATCGTCGTTCTTTACCTTTTACTTAAAACTAAGAATCCTGGATATAGCAAGGATTAACATAACTAGCAATTTACTGATTTTTTGAATACATTTATGTTATCAGTGACGCAAAGTAGAAGTAGATACTAAAAACTGACTGCTCCTGTTATTAAATCGATATTCTGAATGTTGATGAAGACCTAACCACGTATGCATATGCTTTGACGTTTATGTGTGTGCAAGAAGATTAAGCATTCAAATCCTGTTTACTAATCAGGGCACTTTAATCAGTTAACTTGCGGTAGCTAGTTAGTTTTCTTATTGCACAGGTTACATGCAAATAATGAATACTATCAATATAAAATTAACTGAAACTGTCGATGAGAAAACTACCGTTCTCTCCAACCAGAATTTTCGAGATCAAATTTAACGTAAAGGCTAATTTCTTTTTCGTAAAATTGTAGATAATAGACTGTTGAATCTCGTGAAAACTTATGGTGCATGCACTGTTTCATGGAATATTGCTGATTAACAAACGACACATATATAACCCAAAAGATCAAACTGTTATTTTCACGGTATGTTGATCTTTACAATTTAGTTTTACTGAATTAAAAAGTCACTAACGTGGACAGTTCTGTTTCATTAACCAAACGGTGCGTTTTATGAACTTATTCGATTGACACGTAATCACTATAATGAAATGTACAGGCACAAGTAACTGCTGCAAGTAGCAATATGCATGATTGATATATATGTAAAAAGAGGAGAGTGAAAAATTTATTTTTCACATATATTTCATCAAAACTACGTCTAATGAAATTCAACAAAGTCGATATGAAACTCAGTCTACAGTAAATTCAATAGTACTTCGATATCAATTTTATTTTTATTTTTGTTTATGGAACACATTGACAATGTTCCAATAATAAAACACGGGCCACTTTGTGTATAGTTTTTAAGTAATTTGTTTTGGTTTTGCTTTTTTATTTTATTTTAATATTTTATATATTTTATAATATTATATTATGTTATAATTATATTATAATATATAATTTAATATTTTAGTTTTATTTTTTTATTTTATTTTAATATTTAACGTGAGTTTACTAAATTTACTTCAAAATCATTGACTGAAACTTGTCGAAAATTTTTTTTGTTTTAAATTACCAATCTCACATAATCTTGTCAATAAAATGTTGCAAAGAAAGAAAATATACAACACGACGAAGAAGAGTTAAACAATATTCGACCAATATTTGAATTATTGAATTGTTAAACTGTTTTATTAGAGAAATTATTATTCCATATACGTAATTACTAAACCACACAATTATATTTTGTTACACGAATTTTTAATCAGAATACATTGTCGTCAGTGTTTACGTTCTTGTTTCGTCGCGCATAAACGGAAGCTTCTCGGCGGTGACGAGAGACGTGCTTGCGAGTCTTCAGAATCTGTTTTGCACGGTGCCAAACCGGTGTTCTTGTATTGAAAATTTCCGTACATGTATCCGCACAGAGGACAGATCATTCGTACTTTCTTCGCGCGCCTCATTATCAATGGGACAAAGCAAAGCGGCCAACATCTATTATCAGTTATAATAAAGAAATAAGCTCAGTTAAAATAAATTAAACGTACAGGGGAGATGTATTTCTGATGATAAGTCATCGGCCTCCATTTTTTGCTGGTGAATAGATTTAAAGTTTCAAAGGAATTAACTCTTGGCACTTTTGGCAGCTGAGAAGATGGCAATTGGCTGCAATTTTGGGTAATTTCTAAGTTTCTCGTTTGGTGACTTTTCCCCAAATTTTCCCTAATCTCGCTGTCGTTTCTTCAACGAGAGGTTCGTAACTAGATTTTTTTTATGACTAAAACAAGAAATAAATTCAGAGGAGCTCGAGAAAGTACTTATATAGTACTTGTTACTTTTTCTTTTTTTTTTTTTTAATGTCGTGTTAAAAAAATTATAAGCCAGCGAAATAGCGAAAAAATTGGGAAAAGTCGGCAAGTTAGAAATTTACCGTAATTTAAACCGTATTCGTTCATTAATGTAAATATTATTCCTATCCTTGTGACTAACAATGGGATCTGATACACTTGGAATCATTTCTAAGTATTCTATGTTTGGCCATAAATTTGAATTTTGTCAGACGCGATTCGAAGTTCATGAGAATCTTGAAAATCTCGAGAAGTCTCGTCGGGATGTTGAAAGTCTTGGAAATCTTGGAAGTCTCAATTATCTCGGATAAGTACGAAAGAAAGTTATGGTCGAGTTTGACAGCGTAATGAGTATCCAATAACTCGTGAGCTTCTTAATTACTTTGGTTTCAGCGTATCATTGATGTGAAATGTTGACGAAAATCTAGGAAATCTAGTTTGAATCATCACAAATACATTTTTTTATATTATTCGTGCGTAAGTTGCAATATGTTTCATAAACGTTGATATTTGCATAAATAATTTGCAAATGTGTTTACGCTAATTAGAACTTTCTGGACTTTCTTTGATGAAAATTTCGAAAGTCTTTAGAGTTTCGATCGTCTTGGATGTCTTAAAAATCATGAAAGCAGAATTTGAGTAACTATTTTGAGTAAACTCCGGAGTTTTGCGCATTTATGAGAAATTTGAAGATATAAAATTGCATAGAATGCATGAACAAATGTATAAAGTGTAGTGTTTTCTGCAATATTCGGTACGCAATGCGATTTCTTCTCGAGATTCAATTTTTGAATTATATTTTCAAAAATATGTATTTGCATAAAAATCCGTAGTCCAGTGTTCAGTATCTTTTTAATTATTTTGGTTCAAACAATGTTGATATAAAATATTATAAAAAAGTGCAGAAAGTTCAACGTTTACAATTTGTTTATTTAAATGTAACTCCATAAATAAATATATCTATGATAACTCAAACTCCTGGATTTTCTTTAACATTTTATATCATGTTTGAAGCAATATACATACTGAATTAAAAAGCCTGTGTGGCGTGTTGCTACTTGAAGATTTTAAAGTCTTTCGAAATAAGAGATTTTTAAGAATTTCAAGCTTCGAATAATATTCATAAATGACTCGAAAATTCAAAATGACTCGAAGTGCCTTAAATCTCATTGCCTGTAATATTCTAATTCTCAACTTCTCAACTCGTCATTTTATTTGATTTCGAGGCAGATAGTTATTATATTTTGTTTCATATAATATAATCAGTATTTTTTAAAGAATTACGTCTTTATGTCTGACAGATTATTTTCGTTTTTATTTCTTCGTTTCACTCGTGAAATCAAAGTGCCAGCAAAAATGTCGAATTTGTCGAGTTTTTCTCTTGAAATCACGAAATAATTTCTTCTTTTTCTTTTTTTTAATCTCTGCTTGCTAAATTTTAGTTTAATGCCGAATGTTTGCAAGCTTGAGCTCCGAACATGTATTTTTATTAAAATCAATTAAAGTTTCTTAAAATTGTATGTTGTTTTTATGAAATTTATTTATTCGTAGAATATATGCGCTGAATTTTCGAATAAAATTGAAGCAGCCTGTAATTAAAGTTTCGAGTTTACTCATTAATCTTTTATCCTGACACGGAAAGCTGAACGAACAGACAGCGAGTGTAAAATTAATGTTGGTTACCCGTAAGCCAGCCAAAATCTGTCAGTTCTGAATTCGAGATCGTTGCCGTTCAGCCATGTCAAAAGAAAAAAAAAAAAGAAAAAAGAAAAATTGTAACTCGTTAATTAATACATCAAAATCGTTGAAAGTTCTGGCATTTTTTAATTATAATGTTTTACAAAAAATATCAAAGTACGAAATGTAAACGAATTTCTGCACTGTAAATGAAATGTAAATACAAACTTTATAAAAAGGCAAATAATTAAATATAAAGTTCAAAATTGAAAGTAAAGCTTAAGCATGAAGATAGAGAACAGAAAGATCAAATAAACTTCAAATTTTGTTGCCGCATTTGCCTGCAATATTTTAAACATAAACTTTGTGAAGCAATACAAAATTAAATGTAAAATTAGAAATGTTTAAAAATTAATATACCATAATATAATATATGATGTAATTATTAATATAATATATTATATTATTGTATTGTATTACAACAAATAGATAAATTATTGTAACATACAATATTATATTACATTAGAAGATATATTATTATTAAATTTTAAATAGGTATAAAGTCACAAAGAAAAATAGGTAAAACTTTCAGTTTCCTTGCTATATCTTACCCTAAAAGGCACAAAGCTCCAATATGCGAGGTCGTCAACTTGTCTCCCCGAGCATGAAGCGTCGGTATTGCTTCCTTTTTACACCGAGGGCAAATCTTTCTCTCGTTGTGAGACTTCCATGTGTCCACTATAAACAATTTAATTAAAAGTTTAATAATTTAATCCTTTCACTACCACCGACGTGATATCTCCCATCATAGCATCGCTTTCACGATTCTACCGAGGAGTTATCTCGCTTCTATAACCCCTCCGACGAATTATGTCAGTTTTATAATGCCACTGACGAATTATCTCTTTTTTTTAATTCCACTGACGAGTTATCTCGCTTCTGTAACCCCTCCGACGAATTATGTCAGTTTTATAATGCCACGGATGAATTATCTCTTTTTTGTAATTCCACTGACGAGTTATCTCGCTTCTATAACCCCTCCGACGAATTATGTCAGTTTTATAATGCCACTGACGAATTATCTCTTTTTTGTAATTCCACTGACGAGTTATCTCGCTTCTGTAACCCCTCCGACGAATTATGTCAGTTTTATAATACCACTGACAAATTATCTTTTTTTTTTAATTCCACTGACGAGTTATCTCGCTTCTATAACCCCACGGACGAATTATGTCGGTTTCATAATGCCACTGACGAATTATCTCTTTTTTGTAATTCCACTAATGAGTTATCTCGCTTCTATAACTTCTCCGAAGAATTATGTCAGTTTTCTAATATTATCTTTTTTTCTTTGTAATTCCACTGACGAGTTATCTCGCTTCTGTAACCCCTCCGACGAATTATGTCAGTTTTATAATGCCACTGACGAATTAATTCTTTTTTTTAATTCCACTGACGAGTTATCTCGCTTCTATACCTCCTCCGACGAATTATGTCAATTTTATAATGCCACTGACGAATTATCTCGCGTTTACAATCACCACTCTCGTCAGTGACGTCGCAAGAGCGAGATAGCTCGTCAATGAAATTGTAGAAGCCGAGATATATCTCGTCGATGGTATTACTAAATAAATAAATTAAAAAGGAAGAACAATATTACAGAATAAAACGTAGCTGCAGCGAAATATATGTTTCGTCAGTTAATTAATGCAAAGAATCGATGTTCGAAGGAAACGTACCACGAGTAGCGTAAATTTTTCGTTGCTCGCTTTTCCGAGTGTTGCAGTCCGTGTCGCCGATACAATTTGACGCCGATGTTTGTTTCGACGCTGCTTTCGACTCCTCCGTCTTCTGATGCACAAACATATCATCTGCTATTCACGTTTAGGCTCGCCGAAGATGAAATGTGAAAGAGAAAGGGGGGGGGGGGTAAATAGATTTGAACAGTTGCACGCAGCCGCGCGTAATTAAATAGTTCGAACGATGTCACAGTTAATTTGCTTCGGGCTTCGATGCTCGTTCAATTTTGGCCGGATATTAAAATAATCTTTTTACTTTTTTACACATCGTGGAACAAACTGCGAAACACGAGCGAAATTTTCGCATGTTCTTGCTCAGATTCGCGCGATTCGAGCATGGTTTCGCACTCTGTCCGGTTACCTACCGGAGCGCAGCTGGATCCGGTTTAATGGAAATTTTTCTACTGAATAATTTGATTATATATGCGCATTACATGCAGTATCGACCAGAAGTTTCACTGCATTTGTGTTTTATACTTTCGTTTAACGTTTCGCTGCGTGAAACGCCCCAAATCGAATAATTTCGATTGTGAAATAAAATGGCTGAGAAATTGATGGAACGGTGCGCGTTCCTTTTTGAAAATTTGAATTCAAATAAACGTTGTGGAACGTATTATTACTGGCGTTGTTTTTTTTTATCCGACGATATGTACAAAATATTTTTGGAATAATCTGGTTGATTTTCGAAGTAAACTATTTATTATTCCACGGTTATTTAGCAGTTGTCAAATTAATTTATTTTAAATATAAAAATATACTAATAAAATATAACTGTAAATAATTAAGAATGGAACAAGTGCTTTGGCATTAAGATTCAAAAAAAAAAAAAAAAAATAGAAAAAATTAGAGTTGGTCACTCGTAGATTTTTTTTATTATACATACACATAAATATGTTCATTTCTTATGTACAAAATGTGTCTACTAAAATATTCTAAATTATTAAAGTGAGATCATTATTAATATTTTAATATTAGAAAATCGGTAAAGTGAATATTAGGTAAAGTGAATAAAAGATGATCCCTTATGAGAAAATAAATCAAAAGTATATAGAATAAAACTCTTTCATATCAACTCGATTATTATAAAATACGTCATGTCATACGTATCACAGTTACATGTGAATTATAGAATATATAAAATATACACAACGTCTATCACGATCATATACAATAAATTAAGATGATTTAAAAACATACAAATAATTTATATAATCGCAACACATTTAAATTGATGTAAATTACATAAAGGAAATTGTTTCTATTGAATAGTTTAAGAAAAATTGAGAAATGAATGAATAAGTATAAAATACAAATTTAGAGAAGTGTGATAATACAATATTGATAAATCAAATATGAATAATTTAGAAAAAATTGAATAAAATATACATAATATAAATCACAACATAGTATGTTCTGTATAGTAACAATGACACAAATTGAAAAATTATTTTTGTATGATGAATTTATTTATCTATTGATCATTCGTTTGAAATTCTTAATAACATAGGGGAAAATTTCAGAAATATCAGTGTCTAAATATCTTCAATTTATAAAAAAAAGTAAATGTAGATCATAAACCGTGTAATAATATATTAAGTTAATTAATCAAATTACCATGTAAGAAATTACAGTCTTATCTTAACCTTTAGTGATTTATACCTACGTTTATATATATTGTTATTAATTTTATACGTGTACGTATTTATGTATATGTACTTTTATTGCATATTAATATACAATAAACTAGATATAATTGATTAGATATTAATTAGATATATATTAAATATATATCTAATTAGATAAATATAAATAATTAGATATATTTAAATATATATTATAATATTAGATATATATAAATATATATTAGATATTAATTAGATATAATAATAAATATATTAATTAGATATATATATTAATTTTACACACGTACATATTATTGCCAATAATTTTATACATATACATATTTATGTATTGTTAGTAATTTTATTTAAAAAATCTACTCTAAAAATCCCCAGCCAAAAATTTCGAATAAAGAAGGTTTACATATGAAATTCACGTGGATGGAAAGGACGAAGGATAATTATTCGTACCTGAGGGAAATATTGGTTAGAACGTTTCGGGTGAAATTTACGAATATGTGCAAGAAGCCCGTTCGTGTCTCTTCCTTTATCGCTTACACGTTTGTCGCACACAGGACACCACGTAGCCACGTACGACTGTGACGAAAATGGAATATAATGTAATTTACGACGTTATTGAATTCTAACCTGTACGAGTTTAGCCAGAGTTGTTGTTCCCGCTGTCCGTTAGCTGTTGCTTAGGAATTAAACGAAGCACTTTTGCGGAAATATAAGGCAACCTGTGTTTTGCATTTCATATCTTCAAATCCCTTCTTTTGTCGTACGTTCGGTGCGCATTTTTCGAGGCAGAGATATTTGACGTAAACCCTTCAGAGTATCCGGTTATATCGACTGGGTGAAATCAGTTGCGCGTGAAGACGAATCCACCGAACTTAGTTAATGAAACATGAATTACAAATTAATGAAACTACATATTAAATATCGTTTTATATAAAATAAAATATCAATTGCGCCCAGTGTCCAAAATGTCACGAAATTTAGTCAGACTTTCAGTTTATCTCGCTGAAGATTACATTATAACATTCTTTTCGTATCTTCTCTGATTATTTTTCGTATAAAAATAACAAGTTTAATACTTAAGAAAATTGTTTGATACCAGAACCATCAAAGTGGTCAAGATGACCAATTTATAATTTTCTTTTTATTATTAAGAAATTGTTGAAAAATTTTAATTTCCATAAAGAAATTATTTTGTAATGCGTTTGATTTCAAGCACCTTTATATCAGAGAGTATTTAAAACACACTTTATTAAAAATATCTAGTTTAAAATTTTATAGTGTGTGCCTTCGGTGATTCGATTTTTTTCGTGAAAAAATGTCTCCGATAAAAATGTGCCGGTCAGTCGTCGATTAGTTCTCTGGTGTCGATGACAACTGTCTCGTGTCCGCCGTTGTCTCTCCGCAGATTCAAATATTATTCTCCAACAAACGTGAGAGGAGAGTGAAGAAAAAAAAAATGATCGTGGAAAAGAGAGATGCCGGAGCTTTGTCACGTTGTAGAGAAGTTGGCTGCCAAGTCGACAAAGTGGGCTTCGAGCGAGGGCAATCTTAAAGGCAGAAGAAAGGGAAGAAAGGAGAAGGGCAGAGGAAAGGAGCTTTTCCTGAATGCGGCACGAGAAGTTCAGGCCGAAGTCAAAAGTTCCGAAGACAAAGGCTCGCGCGAAAGCTTGCCACGGATGGCGAACATGCCGCGATTCAGTTCGGGGGGCTGTGATTGCGCGACAGTTCATTGCACTGCGACTGCAACGATTCCACAGTTGTCAGAATTTCGCGACAACGATCGTCGAATCACGCATAGTATCCCGTGTAATCGCGCGAGACTTCAATTTTCGCAGATAAATCCCCATTGAATCTACACACGTCGTTTTAAAACAGTTACAGACGCTGCACAGAGGAATGTTTCTCCCTTTCAAAGTATTCTATTGATAAGCAGTTGTCACAACAGAAATAATAGTGAGTGCAAATTAGTAGATAAGGTGTCCATTGGTTCTTACCTTCGTCTTCTTCGCGACTATATCTTGTTCAACATCTTGCGCTTGAACGACGTGCCACGCACGTCGAGAATTTTTTGTCCCCAAAATTGCAATATTTTCTCAGTTCTAAGTATATTCAAGTATAACCCAAGGCAAAGCAAATAATAAATTTATTGCTTCTCAATCATTCCTTCCAGTGATACGTCGACGAGTTGAAAAGAAAAAGAAAGCGACGAATTATTGTATACGGTTTATATACGGTCACTCGTTATGGTCCGCAATCAGTTGCCAGCGCGACATGCTTAAGAGTCATTTAAATATACAAAGAGAGTAAACGAGGATGTTTTCGTACTGTAACTTCATACTGAATAAATAAAATTCACTTAATCCTTTATATTTTTATTACGTGCATTTAAATCTGATTTGTAATATTTTTTTATTAGCAATATATTCGATATATATATCGTTGTGTGAATGTGTGAGAGTGTAAATCGTTATAAATCGCAAAATGATATAAATTAACTGGTGATATTGATTTGAAGAGAATTTAAGTCGAAATTATTGCAATGCGTGCCGGACGTTTGCACGTTTGTTTTTTTGTAAGTACACATTACTCAAATGTTCATACATATGATAGAAGTCCATCCGTTTAAATCTGTCGGAGAACAAACATTTCATCTAATTAGAGTTCCTATTAAAAATTGAAGTTTGCGTATTCTTTCCATTAGCTGTAATTTCTAGTTCAAATAATGAGAGTTTACATTGAGATGGAGTGGATTCAATCGACAGGAATTTATTTAATCCAGCGCTAATTGAAGTTTCGACAAACTTTTGTACTTATGATAGGGGAAAAAAAATTATATAAATAACTAATAGTACATTTAAAATACCTGATAGAAATTTCCAATCTCGGCGAAATTTATTTATAATGAGATATTGCACAGGGATATTGCAGTTATATTAAATATTATGGAGATGAGACACTCAAGAATTCAAATTAAATGAAAGAAACTTTTAGTTTCAATTTTTTTTAAAGAATTCAAACCTTTAATATGTTTCAATAAATTATACTACTAGGAATATTCGTCTTTAAAAGAATACAAATTGCAAAATTCAGGTAGTCTGTTGTCAATTTTGCAACGTCTGCAACATCTGGTAATCATGCAATTAGAAAGAAATCATAATTAAGAAATTAATTTATAAATCTACAAAACTTTTGACACAAGTATTGTGTGCATTTGACGTTTGAAAATCGAGCAATTGGAAATACGGAAATGAGTTTCGCAACAATTTTTTAATTTCGTTCGTTAATAGTTTGAAGATCTGTTACTTACACCGTACAAACGATTTGCTCTTTATTACACTGAATCTGATGATGGAGTAATAAACCTGAATAATTAAAAAAAAGAAATTTTTAATTAACTGCAGAGAGAACAAGCGCTCTTAATACACAGTGACGCTAATTAAGGACTGGGTAGAAAAGATTAAAATACATGAGAGGGAAAAGGAGAAAAGGAAGCGCATTTCGTCCCAACTATTATTGGACTCGTCGACGAGGCTTCCTTGAAAGCTACAACAATTAATAATAAATCAAAGGGCCTATTTCTGTGAAGGAAGGAGTTGACAAATTGTTAAAAGTAGAACATTCCAACGATACGGCAATCAAATGTAAAATAATAAAAGAAGTGTTAATTATAAACGTACATTGATCACTTGATTGTGATTACTATAGTGTACAAAGGAATTGTACTCTGTTGTAACAAAAAATATACTCTGTTGTAACAAAAGTCGATGCGCGTGACAACTAAATTGAAAACACCACTCGAAAAGGAAATGAAATCTTCCTTAAAAATATTCGACACTGACGACTATTGGCGAACTGAAGCATAAAATTTAGAGAGGCCATGTAATAAACTACGCAAGGTTTAAAAATTTTAAATGTTAAATTTCTAAATTTTACGAAAAATATCCAATAGGCACAGTGTCTTGCGACAACACGCAAGAAACGAAATTAACAACAGGTGACTGAATAGATAATCCGGATAATCGAAAATAGAAAACAGGAAGTACAAATGATAGTTTCGTCGTGACGTGTGTCACGATCTAGCAGAAAGAGAAAAAGAAGAAGAAGAAGAAGAAGAAGAAAAAAAACGAGAAGGAAGGAGGAGTCGAAAAAGGCAAACCGGATTCAAAAGAGACGTATGTACGTCTATACCGATAAAAAGACATAATTCAATTAGAGGAGGAACATGTGTCCGTGGGATGGGAGCATGGATATGGCGCCGTTGGCAGTGGGTCAGAAAATCAGGTCAGGTGGAAGCGGCGGCGATGGGAGACAGGTTAGAGTAGGGGCCAGGTACCGTTACCTTCGTCTGGCATCGTCCATTCTCCACACCTGGGAACTTCTTTTATGCGAAGGAACGTGGGCCGCTGGTAAAAAAGATAAACCGGTGCTGCGGGCGAGATGCATAGGAATCTGTGTGCGTCGCTCTAATTCCAACGTTTCCTTTTTTCTTTTCTTTTTTTTTTCCTCTTTCACACAAAATTCGATAAACGGCGTGAACGTTTCGTGAAATTTTGATTCGTTGGAAAATAGAGAGGATATCGACCGATGTTTCTTCTCCTTTAGTTTCTTCTCGTTAGGGAGAACTTTTAATCGATGGTGAAATATTGAGTATCTTCCTGCTGAATGTTTACTGCTAGCTCTGTCAGTGGGTACTTTACTATTAGATTTTAGATCAATCAGTTCCTCGATCTTCTTGACGTGTGATATAAAATTCTGAAGGACCCGGAGTGATTCACACTTGGAATAAAACTTTGAAGAACTTGGAATAATAAAAACTGGAATAATTGTACATTATGTGATACATGTGTAAAAATCTTGTGTAACATATATAAAAACATGTGTAAAATTTGTAATATGTATTTATATATAAAAGTTGTAACAATGTTCGTAAACACGTCAACAATTTTATATATATATATATATAATATTTATAATAATATATAATATATAATTTATAATAATATATAATATATAATTTATAATAATATATAATATATAATTTATAATAATATATAATATATCATTTTTAATAATATTATATTTATAATAATATATAATATATAATATATAATTTTTAATAATATTATATTTATAATAATATATAATATATAATTTATAATAATATATAATATATAATTTATAATAATATTATATTTATAATAAATATATATATATATATTTTTTAAAAATTGAAATAATTGTACATTATATGATACATATGTAAAAATCTTGTGTAACATATAAAAACATGTGTAAAATTTGTAATATATATTTATATATAAAAGTTGTAACAATGTTCGTAAATACGTCAACAATTTTATATATATATATATAATATTATATTTATAATAAATATATATATATATATATTTTTTAAATTTAACAATATACATATATTAAAAACGATTTTAAATAAAATAATCTATTTTTGAAATCTTAAAAATTATTACATTACATTTATCAAAGACTCTGATATGAGTTAGGAACAAAATGATACAAAGTAATATTTAATAGTGTCTTTAATTAACCATACTGCCTTCTTCACCTTCTCATCATGTCCAGTCTCTTCTTTTTTTGCAATAGTTTATTTCTAAGAAGTGGAACGTACAAAAGATTTTAAAATTATATCGAATACTAAAATCAAATGTTTGAAAGCTGGATATATATATATATATATATATATATATATATATATATCCTATTGAAATATAATATCTATTCAGAGAAGAGCAATAGAGTTAATTGAGTAACTTTGATTTGTATAGAGT